AAGGCAGAGAAATTTTCTGGGTTTTTACTTTCTTTTTTCTCTCTCTGAGCTTTTACTTTCAGAAGATATGAGATCCTGAGAGATAGTTTGCAAAGGTATCTTCCATCTCTAATTTCCTATGCTTTATGTCAAGTAATAAAAACAGTAATAGCTAATATTACTGTGTATAGAGTCTGTGGCAAGCACTGTTCTAAACCCTTTACACATACCACTCATTAAGTCTCACAGCTACCCTTACTGAGTATCCCATTTTACAGATGAGGAAACTGAGAGGCAGACAGGTTAAGCAACATTCCCCAAGTTTGTAGAGCTATTAAATAGTGGAGCAGGACTCTGCATAGACCTGCTCAGCGAATGCCTTCAACGAGGCTGGTGCTCAGCGAGAGTGTCCCTTTGGCACTGCCAGAGGTAGGTGATGGGACATCATTTGACTCTTCATGTGGATATCTTTCCCCTTCAGCTCCAACCATGAGCTCCTGGGAGGTTTGCACTGGCTCCCACCATCCACTGAGCCCCCAGAACTGTGATGGTGCTTTGCATGTGGATGCTCAGGAATCAGGCAGATGGGACAGTCAGCCTGGATTTGGGAGAAAAGGGGCAGAAGGGAAACTGTTGGAGACCTCAGGGGCTGCCTGCGATGCTCTCACACTCTCAGGGGTCGGGGTGGGGAGCAAGGCTGTTGTTATCACTGAGGAGATGGCAATAACTTTCATGCTTCAAGGACAAGAAGGTTGTGATTACATAAGGTAGAAAACTTTGGAAACAAGGTGAGTATCAGTTGAGTGAATTTAATAAATATTTAAGAAAATACCTTCTCTGTATAGAGGTGGCATTTACAGCGGTTAAGACCATACTCTTGGGTTGAAGGTAGATTCCTCACTAGGAAGCCGGCAGGGAGGGCGGGCTTTGGTCTTGAATGCCTGTCCTCAGGGATGTAGAGGGCAAAGGGGTCAGGGGATGGGAGAGTCTAGCAGGAGTGAAGAAAACTGGGCCAGGGGTAGAAAGGGTCTGTTCCAGGATGGAAATCATAGGGAAGGGACAGGAGGAGACAGATGGGAGGAATGGCAGAGGGTAGAAAAAGTCAGAGCCACAGGACAGAGTCACCAATTGAAGCTGGGCAGTAGGAGAGAGGAAAGGAGAGCTTGAAGGAAGCTCTGTGTAAGGTGAACAGGAAAATGAGGTGTGGACCCCAGAAATAAGGAAGTCAGATGAGGAACTGGTTTGTGGGGAGGGAAGGAAGAGGAAGCAGAAGCGGTATTGACAATAGGCAGGCCAGGAGCATCATGAACCCCCGCCCCGGCCCCCACCCCCCAGGACCATGCCAGGGTTGCTGGATATGGGGAGGTCTTGGGGAAGGAACAGGGTGCCAGTCAGCAAGGTTTGGGGGTATTTTAATATTTTAACAACCAGTGCAAACACGTCAGTGAGTGTGCTCTGATGTCAACATTCTGGGTTTGAGGGGCTGGTGGAGATGACCCCAGCACCTTGGAAAGGGTGTCCAAGCAAGAGAGTGCACGGAACAGCATAACGTGCAGAAGGGTCATCAGCAGAGACTATGAGGTGGCCTGGCCAGGTTTGAATCCCAGGTCTTCCCCTTGTAGCTGGGTGACCTTGGGCAGATTGCTTCAACTCCCATACTCAGTTTTTCCATGTAGAAAAATGAGGACAATACCAGTGTCTACGCTCTAGGACTGTTGTGAGGATTAAATCAGAGTTTAGTACGTGCCTGGCGCATAGTGAGCACTTGTGATTGTCAACTATTATCAGCACAGAGGTGACAAAGGAAATGGATGACAGTTACTCAAGGAGAAAGAATGAAGAGATAAGAGGTCCCCAGAGAAGCACTCTTGGTGACTACCTGTATTTTGGCAGGAAGAGAGAGGGGTCAGAGAAAGAGAGGCAGAGATGTAGGGATTCAACCCTCACAGGAGCCATCACAGGCTCAGGAGAGGAATGTTCCGTGAAAGTTGAGAGACCCATGGTTAAATTAGGTAGATGTTCCTGAAAAGGTGTAAGTCAGCATATACTTTACAAATAATCTTATTCAAATGCCCCATGGAGAGTTTAGTTAAAGGAACCTTTCGGTGGATTTGTTTGAAAAGGGAATACTCAAGTGTTCTTTAAAACTGGGATTGTCCCCAACCAAGTTTGCCTGACTTGGACACAACGCCTGTGTGCTGTTTCCCTCCCAGCAGTCATGTGGCTAAGCGGTGCTGTTATTTATTCTGGTTAATGTTGGTGGTACCTTGTTGGAATAAGACGGGGACCATGGATGTGGTTTCCAGGGCTCCAGGGAAGGAGGCCGCAGAGGGAACGTCCCAGCGTTTGGCCTGTGATCCATGTGGCCATGCACAGGTGACTGTAGAACCTGCTCCAGAAGAGCAAGATGTCCTCCCACAGGAGAGTCCCACATTCCTCACAAGGGTGTGAGGCCCAGCCTGACCCTGTATGTCCTCTAGACCCTTATATTTTGACCTGGTTGTCCTGATTCTCACGGCTCTTGGCCCAGACCAGCTTCCTACTGTCTGTCCTGCACTCTTCCCACCCCAACACCTGCAGTGGGTGCGGCCTCTCTGCGCTGCCTGGTGAGTGACCAGGGGGAGGAGCTTGCTCATTGCCCCAGGCCACCCAGGGCTGTCCCTCTGCTTCAAACCTCTGGCCACTTTGGAATCTGGTCATTCTGGGTATTACCAGAGCTTGAGCTGGTGCTGCATCTGGCTTTGCTCCTTGACTTTTCTCTATACAGTATGGGAGGGTGCTTTTTTTCTTAAATAAAGAAGAAAACAGGTTATCACACAGACCCTTCATGCTCACCCCATGTGTTTTTTTTTTGTTTTGTTTTGTTTTTGTTTTTTTTGCTGTACGCGGGCCTCTCACTGTTGTGGCCTCTCCTGTTGTGGAGCACAGGCTCTGGATGCACAGGCTTAGCGGCCATGGCTCATGGGCCCAGCCGCTCTGCGGCATGTGGGATCTTCCCGGACCGGGGCACAAACCCGTGTCCCCTGCATCGGCAGGTGGACTCTCAACCACTGCACCACCAGGGAAGCCCAGAATTTCCTTACTTTTTAAGTTGAATATTATTCCATTGTATGTATATACCAAATTTTGCTTATCCATTCATCCATCAACAGACATTTGAATTGCTTCCGTGTTTTAGTAATTGTGAATAATACTGCAATGAACATGGGTATACAAATATTTCTTCAAGACCCTGCTTTCAATTCTTTTGGTATATACCCAGAAGTATAATTGCTGGATCATACGATAATGCTATTTTTAATTTTTTGAGGAACTGCCACATGTTTCCCACAGCAGCTGTACGGTTTCACATTCTCACTAACAGTGCAGAGGATTCCTGTTTCTTCACATCCTCACCAACACCTCTTATTTTCTTTTTTGTTTGTTTGCTTTTGTTTTCCTCTCTATTCAGACCTCCACTTCCCTTCCACATTATTCCTCTGTTTTTTTGTTTTTCTTTTTTCCGTCATGCGGGCCTCTCACTGCTGTGGCCCCTCCCGTTGCGGAGCACAGGCTCCAGATGCGCAGGCTCAGCGGCCATGGCTCACAGGCCCAGCCGCTCCGTGGCATGTGGGATCTTCCCGGACTGGGACATGAACCCATGTCGCCTGCATCAGCAGGCGGACTCTCAACCACTGCGCCACCAGGGAAGCCCTCTTCCTCTGTTTTGATGATCTTGCCTCCGACTCCATTAAGAAATCAGACACCGGCTGGTAAAAGCTCACTTACCTTCTGTATAAAATTAGGTTCAACCATGAGTAACAGAAAAACCCAAAACAACAGTGGCCTCTACAAAGACAATGTTTATCTCCAGCCATTCATTCCAGGGCTGGCACGGCCACCCACAGTGTCAGACCCCACACGTCTGTCTGGCTCCTCGAGCGGTACCTGGGTTAATGCCTAGTACATAATGGGTTCACAGTAATAGTTGTTGAATGACTGAAAATAGGGTTTATTAACAGTAGAACATTTAAAAACTTTTGATATATAGAACCAACCTGACTTCCTAAAGGGCAGACATAGTCTCAGTGTCCCCAGTAATATGTGAAGATAATCAGTTTCACTACATCAGCCATGGCCAGTGTGGGTTTTTCCCTGCCCGTTTAATAAGCAAAAACAGATGCCTTATTAAACTTTCATTTGTGTTTTTAATCACCAGGGAGTGTGAACATTGTTTATTTTCTTGTTGTATTTCCCCTTCTACAAATGGTTTTATTTCCTTCCTCATGCTTTACTCATAAATCTACATAAGTTTTTTTAATGATAAAGATATTCTTTGTCATTTGCTACAAATATTTGTATGTATATTCTTGTATATATGTGTATGTGTATATGCAGTTGTGTGTGTAATTCACACGTTCTAGCCTCCAGTAACTAGCAAGCAGTAGTGAAGGGCGTTCCTCATGCACTCAAGCTTTTGCCGTGGACATTCCTGGGTTGGAATCCTGGCTCTGCTCCTTTCAAGCTGAGGGACGTACCCTTGTTCAAATTACTCAACCTTCCTAAGCTTAGCATCCTCGTCTGTAAAATGATCATTGTACTTAAATATGTATATGTATTTTGAAAACACTTTATACAGTCAAGTTTGTGGAGCTAATCTTTTGTAATTTTATCTATTGCACGTCAAGGTTTAAAAACTCCTCTGCATGCTGAAAGCTTGATAAACATTCAGTTATTTTTTTTTGATATTTTTTTAATGGTAGAGTTTTACTCAGTATTTAATTGTCTTTCTGTGTGAACCCTTAGGTGTTACAACATTGGCAGAAGCCAGAGATGTGTGTGGACTTGTAAAGTCAGAAGATTGATCCCTGCCCTTGGGGGGGCCTACACTCTTGTTAAGGGGCAAACACACTGATTGGAAACAGGCTCATCTATTTTCCTCATGCTGCAATGAGTGGGTTAGCAGGGCAGGATTATGGGGCAGGCTCAGTTGGGGTACCAGTCCCTAAAAAGTGGTGAGGTGGTACCGAGTACTTGATAAGATGCGGAAATCTGTGTTTCCAGATCACCTCAAGGGAGGCTATGGCATGGCACAGGGCTGGAAGAAGTACTTGAATAAGCTGCTTAGGGTAGGTGGACTGAGACTCCACCTGTACCTGAAGATCTTGCTTGAGTGAAAACAGTTGATAGTCTGGCCACCTTCTGAGGGGCTGGAGCCTAGTTTATTTTCAGGCTTAGTTTTGCTGCGTGATGGATGCCAGCTGAAATGCTGAGAAAATAGTCGCCACCATCTTTCCTCTCCACTCTTGCCCTGCACTGCTGAGTCTCCAGCCCTGTCTGAACACTACTTTTTCTATTTAAAGAATAACTGCTTAAAGTGACAGGTGCATAAATGGCCACAAATACAGTTCCTTCACTTCTCAAGGCCTTGGTTGCCCCACCTCTTAGAAGCTACTCTGAGGCTACACCCTGTTGTCAAACACAGACATGGCTTTCTTGATCCTGAGAGAATCAGGTCCTGAACTAAGGGTACAGAAAGACCTAAGCTCTCAGGCATTTGACAGCTTCTCTACTGATGGCCAGATCTGGACAGTTGACCAGTTCTGTGGGCTATCTGCCCCAGCTCAGGCTTCCTCATCCACCTGTCCTATGTTAGCACCTACCTGTTTAATCAGGATTCCCACATAATTCCTGCTCAGAAGAGTGGTCGGCTTTGATTCTGACCAGCCGTGGCTCAGGGCTACTCCCTGGCCGGCAGGCCTCTCCCTGGAAGACCTAGGCTGGTGTTGCCCTTTCCTGGGGAGTCTGTGTATGAGGGACCCGCATGTTCCTCCTGGGCATCCTCGGCTCTGAGGGAGCAGACATGCTGCAGGTCCAGGCACCTGCCTGTGAGCCACACGGCCCCTTCTGCAGAAACTAAACATAAGGTCCCAGAGCCCAAAGGCTCAGCAAGCGACGAGCCTGTCTGCTCTCTGAGGGCAAAGAAATGAGTCCTGTGTGTGTGTGTGTGGGGCGGGGCAGTTGCAGAAGGGGAAGCTGGAAGCCTGGAAAGGCAGGGGCCCCGAGAGAGGCTGAGTGAACAAGACTTCAGCTATTCAGATGGAATTGTTGTTGTTTTTTTAAAAATTTATTTATTCATTTATTTAATTTTTGGCTGTGTTGGGTCTTTGCTGCTGCGCGTGGGTTTTCTCTAGTTACTGAGAGCGGGGGTACTCTTTGTTGCAGTGCATGGGCTTCCCTTTGCTGTGACTTCTCTTGTTGCAGAGCACGGGCTCTAGGCGCGCGGGCTTCAGTAGTTGTGACTCGCGGGGTCTAGAGTGCAGGCTCAGTAGTTGTGGTGCACGGGTTTAGTTGCTCCGCGGAATGTGGGATCTTCCCGGACCAGGGCTCAAACCCATGTCCCCTGCATTGGCAGGCGGATTCTTAACCACTGCGCCACCAGGGAAGCCCTGGAACTGTTATTGATTCAGAGAGAACAGGAAGTGGGGAGGGAGAGGCTGGCAGTCACGGGTAGCCACAGCCCTCCCGGCCAGGGCTACATATCATTTGGGGTCTGCACCCCATTCTGCTGGAAGCCACCCACTAACCACTCTGGGCTTGAGCTTCCTATTGTGCAATGATGATAATACTATCTGGCCGGCCCAATCCTTGGGGCATCGTGTATCAGATGGAAGAGGTGGAATTGTCAGTAATGTATTAGTATGGCAATATTGTAGTGTTTTTTGCAGTTAAATTAATATTTTAAATTGAGATCATTAATGAAAATGATTAGTGGAGATCACTTTAAAAAGTTTAAGGAATTGTTAGAACAAGTGAAATGTAGTTCCTAATTCCTAAAAATTATGATTTAAAACAAGCACCAAGAAAGGTATTTATAGTACATTAAGTTAAAAAAGTTACTAATTTGTAAAATAAGACCTCATTTTTATTTAAAAAATATGAAAACATAGTCATATGTCATTAGGAAAATATCTGGCAGTTGTACAGTAAAATGTTAACTTTGTTTTCTCTGGGATTTCATGTGACATGAAAAATATAATTATTTTCAAAAGTTTATCTGTACTTTTCCATTTTTCTACAATAAGTGTAACTTTTAAAATAAAGAATTAAAATGTTTTTAACAAGAAAAAAATTGTTAAAAGAACAAGTACACCTGTTTAGGCTGTAGAATAAAAGTATCAAACTCAGAGGGACACTGACCAGCCTGCAGGGAAGGGGCCTCATTACCTGCCTGTGCTAAGGCCAAGGCTTTCCCCTTAGAGGGGAGGGGGGCCCCACCTGACTGGGGGGACTCAGGTCCAGGGGAGACCCCCTCCTGCTCCCACACACACTGGTGAAAGGACAAGACCCTCACCATCACCTCTCCTTGTCATCTGGCCTGCAAGCAGAGAACCAGTTGGCAGATACAATGAGTCATTTGTTTTCAATTTCTGTTGGTTTTTTTTTTTTTTTTTTTTTTGCAGTACACGGGCCTCTCACTGTTGTGGCATCTCCCGTTGCGGAGCATAGGCTGTGGACACGCAGGCTCAGCGGCCATGGCTCACGGGCCCAGCTGCTCCGCAGCATGTGGGATCTTCCCGGACTGGGGCACGAACCCGTGTCCCCTGCATCGGCAGGCGGACTCTCAACCACTGCACCACCAGAGAAGCCCTCTGTTGGTATTTTTTTAAATTAAAAAAAAATTTTTTTTGCCTTGCCGCGTGGCACGTGGGATCTTAGTTCCTCAACCAGGAATCAAACCCACACCCCCTGCGTTGGAGGCATGGAGTCCTAACCACAGGACCACCAGGAAAGTCCCTATTGGTATTCTTAAAAGTAGGAATGTGACACATGGTCATTGTAAAATAGCAAAACAATACAGGTGCACATATAGTAAAACAAAACAAAACAAAAAAACCCCAAAACATAAAACATCAGAGTCCTTCCCTCAGCACCTCAAATCCCAACCTCCAGGGGTGAGTTATAGAGTAAGTTTCTGGAGGTTTTTGCAGTAGACATATACTTGTATAGCTTGTCCACATAGCTGTTGAAGAAGCATATTTATGATCCTTGTAAGGAACAGCAGATTATAAAGCTGCTCCTCCTGTCAACTCAGCATTTTTGTGTTTTTTAAAAGCATGTAAATGGAAGTTATCTCTGGTTTTCAAGATTATGGGTGATTTTGATGTTCTTTTTTCCTAGTGTGTTCACTGTAGGATAATCAGATATTCTGTAAATTTAAAACAGTTTTAAGTCTCCCCACCCAAGAAATGTAGTGGCTGAGTTCTTTGCACCTTAATGTGACTGAAGGAGGTCCTGGTTGGACAGAGGCATCCCTGCTGGTGGGAGGAAGGCAGGACCAGGATTAGAGTGAGGCACTTGCCTTGGGCATAACATTTAAGGGGATGCCAAAAAACCCTAAACCCTCAGGAATCAAGATAAATAATACTTTAAAGCAGTATTTTTTTATTTTTATTTTTCGTTTTGCAGTACGCGGGCCTCTCACTGTTGTGGCCTCTCCCGTTGCGGAGCACAGGCTCCGGACGCGCAGGCTCCGGACGCGCAGGCTCAGCGGCCATGGCTCACGGGCCCAGCCGCTCCGCGGCACGTGGGGTCTTCCCGGACCGGGACACGAACCCGTGTCCCCTGCATTGGCAGGCGGACTGTCAACCACTGTGCCACCAGGGAAGCGCTAATTTTGATTTTTAAAAATACTGCTTTACGGGCTTCCCTGGTGGCGCAGTGGTTGACAGTCCGCCTGCCCATGCAGGGGACACGGGTTTGTGCCCCGGTCCGGGAAGATCCCACATGCCGTGGAGCTGCTGGGCCCGTGAGCCATGGCCGCTGAGCCTGCGCGTCCGGAGCCTGTGCTCCGCAACGGGAGAGGCCACAACAGTGAGAGGCCCGCGTACCACAAAACAAAACAAAACAAATCAAAGTTAATGCAAAAAAACCCCACGATGAACAAAATGTTAAAGAAAAACTTGTATTTGCATGGTCCTGCCGTTATTTGCCTCACCCTAGTTGGAATGGGTCCTCCCTGGCAGATGGGATCCTTTGGAAATGGTAAGCACTTTGGGAAAGGGCAGTTCACAGCAGAAGGGAGGCCCTGGCTCGGGGTGGGCTGGGAGTGATGGGAGAGGGAAGCTGGGAGAACATACATGGGGCTCCATGGGAATTCCCTGACCAGCTACAAGCTTCATGTTGGTGAGGAGATAGAAAATGGACCCAGCACAGCCTCCGGATTCTCTGTTCTCCCAGCCCCTCCATGGCTGCTGGAGCTGTGGGTTCACAGAAGGTCTCCTAAGCATGGAGCACATCTCTGCTGCAGAGAGAGAGAAGGAGGAGGGGAAGGTGTGGGAGAGGGGGCTCCTGGAGAAGCCAGGCTTGGGAGGAAGCCCACCTAAGGCTCAGTTAGGTACTTATCCAACAAGAAAGATGTAGCCAAAAAGATCAGGTTTTCCCTTGTAGTAGAAACTTGTTTATCCGTGTGCTTTCTCCACCTTTTGGCCTTGTCCTGTTTTAATAGTGATCTTTCCAATTTATAAGTGAAGATCTAAAAGTGAAAATATTGTAAAAATATGGAAAATGTTCAACCTCACTAATAATAAAATATCCAAATTAAAACAGTACTGAGATTACATTTTTCACCTATCACATTTAGCAAGTTAAAAAAAATATGTGTTAAGTGCAGTGCCTTCCTCTGGGGAAGATGCAGGAGGTGAGCACTCCTAGTCATTGCTGGTGACAGGGAACACTGTAGAGTTTTTTGGAAAGAATTTGGCTGCGTGTGTTATTAGTCTTAACAATCATAGGCTTTGGCACCGTAATTCCTCTCCTGACAATCAAGCCTAAGGAAATACTCCAAATATGACAAAAGTGCTTACACAGAAAGGTGTACATTGCAGCAAAAGTTTGGAATAGTCTGATTTTATCTTATGACAGGGTAGTCAGCTGACAGCACAGGTTTAGGCATCCCATCCTGCAACGTTCAGAGGAAGAAAGGGAAAGAAAGTCTGCTTCAAAGACCCATATGCCCCAAGGCCCTACACCCAGAGGGAGCTTGTTCTAGGGAACTTTTGCCCCAAACCAGCTTCTGTTAATGGTTTCTACATTTTAAACTTCCTCTTTCCTTATTCTCCCATTCCCA